AACCCTTGTCTTGTAAATCGTGTTGCTTTCTCAATCTATGCAAGGAATAATCAAAGATCAATTAGTTGGAAAATACAATTGTGCATATGAAAAATAAACTATGAAGGGAGACACTCGCCTATTCTTCCAAAATCCTTCCACTAGCATTAACCATGGCTTTATCCAAGCATTCCTTCCACAAGTTACATGTTGTGCCGATACTCTTCCATCGATTGTAAACACCTTAGTTCGATTGGTGTTGGAGATGGAATTAATTTGTCAAGGATTTTACCCCACGAGCCTTTTATTTTGGTTTATGCCGATTGCACCATCTTTGCTAATAGAAACCCATGCCAAGCACAAAGCAACATCTTGAAAAGTTTGGAAAAGGGAAGAAATAGTTTTGGAAGTGGAATTTGATTTGGATGGTTGAACAAATCCAGACGTGTTTATAAAGTTTTTGAGTGAAATTTGATTTCAATTAATTTAAGGACATTAATTTAATTTTGGGCTGACAAATCTTTTTTTTAATCGTTAGATTTGATATCATTTTGATCATAGCTGTTGGATTTTAAGTAAAAAATGAAAAAAGAAAAAAAAAGAGGTTTGAAATAAGACTGTTGGTTGATCCAACAGTCATATTATTTGGACCATTAGATCACAGTTGAAATAGGACTGTTGCATGGGCCCCTCCGTGCTTTGTTGGCGTGTGGCGCTTGGTTTGGGAATTTGGGTTTCAGTTGTGCAGCCCACCTCCATGGGAGACAGTTTGGTGGGTCCAGAATGATTTAAGCCAAGCTTTTAATTTTTGGGGGCAATTTAGACCAAAGATTTATTTTCTCTTCAAGACTTATTTTAGCCCTATGGTTGGAAATTGTTTGGGGCGATTTAAGACTTAAATTATTTAAGCTTTATATGAACCATTGGAGATGGTCTGAGTGTTTTCTTTTTCCTTTCTTTTACTGTACATGTGTCAACATATGTCTGATTTAAGAGATGTTTTCAGGTCACGCCTGGACTTCTGATTATGGCTGCTCTGACAAGGAGGAAGAGTTCCGTTGGTTAATTAAGTGAGTAATGTGTTTTTTTTTTTTAACTTTTTCCCACGTCCAACTGTTGGTGGTGTTAATGTGTTTGATTGCAACTTGCGGTTTTACGTATGGTAATTTTTTAAAACAATGTAGTAGTAGGTATTTCACTACCTTGCTAATTTTTGTTTCTGGAATGAGAGAAACTATTAGAATAAGAGGGATTATGCATTATGAGTCCTCTCTTCATCAATCTGCTTACGAGGCGGTTTGCGATCATGTTTATTATGTTTCTGGGACAAGCTCAGATTTCTGGGTTTTCTTACGAATATAAACTTGTGCTTATCTCTCCCTATTCTACCTTCTGCTTTCAGGTACTCGCCTATACACAATGTTAGGAGACCATGGGAACAACATGCAAGCCAACCTCACCAATACCCATCTACCATGTTATTGACTGCGGATCATGATGACCGAGTTGTACCACTACACTCGTTGAAGTTATTGGCGGTTAGTCTCTTTTGCAAATAGAATCCATAAGACATAGATGAATGGGAATTTAAACCTGGTGGCCTTAATGCTATATTCTCACCGTTATCACTCATTATCAACAAAAATATTTTATTGATGTGTGCTCGTCTTTGTCATTAGACCTTGCAATATGTTCTGATCACAAGTTTGGAGAATAGCCCACAGACAAATCCGATTATTGGTCGCATTGAATGCAAGGCGGGGCATGGAGCTGGACGTCCAACCCAGAAAATGGTAAGTATAGGATGTTTTTTGCTATTAGATTATTAGTCGTACCATAATCATTGTATTTGTTTATCTGCCCCTTGTATGAACAGATTGACGAAGCTGCTGACCGGTATAGTTTCATGGCTAAGATGTTGGGTGCATCATGGATGGAGTAGATTTTATCGATGCTGGAGAAAAAACATGGAAAGTGCGCCTGATTGTTTTTCAAACGGCCATGATTTTTGGATGCCTCTTATATTGACTGTAACCTTAATTTTTGGGCCTCCTGTGTTTGCTTACTCTTTCTGTGCTCTTCGGCCTTTTTGACAAAAAAAAAAAATTTGAAATGTACTTTTTATGAAGTATGGTGGGCCGTATGTTCGATACTCCCTTTTTTTGTTTAATTTTAATTTGTAATTCTTGATTTTAAAAAAAAAAAAATTCTGTTGATGAAACTATAGCGGGCTGTAAATTTGAAAGTTTCCAAGATATTTTAAAACTCACTTTTTCATCGGTCATACGATTTTTTTTCTTTTTTCTATTGATGAACTATAGCGGGCTGTAAATTTTAGACACCTACAAATCACTTTTGAGCCCCCTAATTATTTTATTTAAATTTTCTATTTCAACACTAAAACTTCATAAAAATTACTTTTAGAACACAATAAATGGTACAACTGTATTCATAGATCCTGGAACATTTTCTTTAATTCCCGCTCAAAAGATTTCCCAAAACTAAGAATTTCTATTTTTCACAGAATCCGCGTGTAACCCTCGTTTTCAATTGGCTTTCGCAATATTTTTTTTTTAAAAATTCATAAGCTTATTTTCAAGTCAATCTCGTTGCACATGTTTCTTAATATTAGCATAGAACATTCCTAAGATTTTAGACAACTAAAAATAACTTTTGAGACCCATAATTATTTTTATTTAATTTTTATATTTTCAACATAAAAAATACTTTCGGGACCTAGCAAATGATACGATTGCATCCATAGATCTTGTAATATTTTCCTCAGTCCCCACGTAAAAGATTTCCCAAAACTAAAAATTTCAATTTTTCACATAATTCATGAGTAAAATTTTGCAAAATTTCAATTTTTGCCTACGTTTTCAATATGTTTTGCAAAATTTTGCAAAATTCATCATAAGCCTATTTTTGAGTCATTCTCGTCGCACCACTTTCTAATATTAATGTAGGACATTTTGAAGATTTTAGACACCTAAAAATAACTTTTGAGCCTTTAATAATTTTTATTTAGTTTTTCTACTTCCAACTTTAAAAATTCATAAAAAAAACACTTTCGGAACCCAATAAATTGTACAACTACATCTGAAGATCTAGTAACATGTTCCTCAATTCCCAGGCAAAAGATTTTCCAAAACTAAAAATTTCAATTTTGTTATAGAACCCTTGAGTTATAACCCACTTTTTTAATTAGTTTCACGAATAAGCCTATTTTTGAGTCATTGTAGCTGCACCACATGTTTTCTAATATTAATGTAAGACATTCCAAAGATTTTATACACCTAAAAATCACCTTTGGGACATGTAACTTTTTTTATTTAATTTTTTCTATTTTCAACAATGAAAATCCATAAAAAAATACTTTTGGGACCCAATAAATTGTATGCCTGTATCCAAGATCTTGTGACATTTTCCTCAATTCCCATAAAAAAGATTTCCCAACACTAAATATTTCAATTTTTTTTTCACTCCATGAGTTATATAACTCGTGTTTTCAATCGATTTTGCGAATTTTTGCAAAGTTCATCAAAAACTTATATTCAAGTCATTCTCATCGCACCACATGTTTCCTAATATTAATGTAGGACATTCCAAAGATTTTAGACACCAAAAAATAACTTTTAGGCCCCTAAATTATTTTTATTTAATTTTTCTACTTTCAACATTAAAAATCCATAAAAAAATACTTTTGGGACCCAATAAATTCCATGACTACATCTGAAGATCTTGTAACATGTTATGATTGCATCTAAAGATCTTGTAATATTTCTTCAGTTCCCATGCAAAAGATTTCCCAAAACTAAAAATTTCAATTTTTTCACATAATTCGTGAGTCACGTTTTCAATTGGTTTTGTGAAATTTTGTAAAATTCATCATAACCCTATTTTCGAGTCATTCTCGTCGCACCACATATTTTTTTATATTAATGTAGGACATTCAGAAGAATTTAGATACCTAAAAATAACTTGAGCCCCTTAATTATTTTTATTTAGTTTTTCTACTTCCAACTTAAAAAATTCAAAAAAAATAAAAAAAAACTTTCGGAACCCAATAAATTGTACGATTGCATCCCAAGATCTTGTAATATGTTCCTCAGTTCCCACGCAAAAGATTTTTCAAAACTAAAAATTTCAATTTTTGTTACAGAACCCGTGAGTAACCCACGTTTTTAATCAGTTCCATGAATTTTTTCAAAATTCATCATAAACCTATTTTTGAGTCACTGTAGCTGCACCACATGTTTTCTAATATTAATGTAGGACATTCCAAATATTTTATACACCAAAATCACTTTTGGGACTGTAACTATTTTTTATTTAACTTTTCTATTTTCAACAAATAAAATCCATAAAAAATAGTTTCGGGACCCAATAAATGGCATGACTATATCCAAGATCTTGTGACATTTTCCTCAGTTCCCATATAAAAGATTTCCCAAAACTAAAATTTCAATTTTTTCAGACTCCATGAGTTATAGCCCGTGTTTTCAATCGATTTTGCGAATTTTTGCAAATTTCGTCAAAAGTTTATTTTCTAATCATTCTCATTGCTTTCATAATATTAATGTATGGCATTCCAAAGATTTTAAACACCTAAAAATAACTTTTGAGCCCCTAAATTATTTTTATTTAATTTTCTACTTTCAACAATTAAAATTTCATAAAAAATACTTTTGGACACAATAAATTCCACTACATCTGAAGATCTTGTAACATGTTCCACAATTTCCACGCAAAAGATTTTCCAAAACTAAAAATTTCAATTTTTTTTACATAATTCGTGAGTTACCCATGTTTTCAATTAGTTCCACAAAGTTTTGCAAAATTCATCCAAAGCTTATTTTAAGGATTCTTGTCGCACCATATGTTTCCTAATAGTAGTGTAGGAGATTTTTAAGATTTTGGAAACCTAAAAATAACTTTTGAGTAATTATTTTTATTAATTTTTCTACTTTCAACACTAAAAATCCTTAAAATATACTTCTAGGACCTAATAAAAGGTACGATTGCATTCAAAGATCTTGTAATATTTTCCCACGCTTTAATTTTTCTACTTTCAACATTAAAAATTCATAAAAAATACTTTTGGACCCAATAAATTCCACGACTACATCCAAAGATCTTGTAACATGTTCCTCAGTTTCCACGCAAAAGATTTTCCAAAACTAAAAATTTCAATTGGTTTTGCGAAATTTTGTAAAATTCATCATAAGCCTATTTTCGAGTCATTCTCGTTGCACCACATGTTTTTCTCGGGATCCTCACAAAGGGGATCAGGCAAGGATCCTCACTCAATGAACAGAGCCCTACTCTGTCAACATAATGTCACCCTTTATAGTTGACAATAACCAAGTAGAAAACTATTAAAAGTCTTAGAAAACCGCTCACCATGTCTTAGTGAAGATATAGAATGCAAATCTTCATCCTTGAGAGGGCAAGAAATCCACTCGCGCGACGTACTGCTTCTGCATGAAAATTCAAGACAATATAACAAGAGGGCCATCAACATGATGTGAAAAGAGGGGTGTGCTGGTGTGGGTGACCAAAAAATTAAGAAGGAAACCTGTTTCTCTGCTTCCCCTTCACGCATCAGATCCCATGACCGACTGTCAACCAGTTTCAGATTTTTCAAACCTACCTGCATCCATAATGTGTTTTTTTTGTAATTGTTCAATGACAAGAAACAACAATGTCAATTTAACAGTGAGCTCACCAATTTATTTATCTCCGTTTCCAAACTTTTTACAGACTCATCAGATGGGACAAGGCGTGCGTTTTGTATCTCAAGCTGGAAAGGCCTTCCAGAAATCCGTACCTAAGATATTTACATACTTCAGAATTTTCTTATTAAAATCAAACTGCAGTACAGAAAGGTAGATTTCCATTACATCGATATCTTCTCTTCCGGCAGCATGAAACTTGTAGTTATCACCACAACACATAGGAAGAATGTTGCTATCTAGTATCTCCTACGAAGGAGAACAGAAATAACTGTCAGCATCTCCACCACTGTTTCCAGAGGAACAAGTCAAATAAGAAAGATTGTGGCCAATATTTGGGGTAGATATTACCTCGACAGATGCTTCTCCCATTCTCTCATCATCAATAATCCAACAGGTTTGACTCACATTTCTCGAGTACTGAAACATAAAAAGTAATTAGCATCAATTAAAAGACCTTTCTTGTTCAATAACAACAGCTTATGGTACAGAGGTAATCACGAGATTAGCTTATGACACACAGGCAACAACAAGATTGGCTTATATGACGCAGAAGAAGATTAAACTTGGATGCAAGGCGTTCCAACATAGAAATAAGAAAACATCTCAAACTCATTTTCCAACTTTCAGATATAAGCAAATAGATCAATAGTGGATTTCAATATGCCCAGATAAACCTAACATCTGGTTATGTTAAGTTAAGCTATTGATTCTAAAAACGAAAAATCACAGTTAGCTTACCTTCAGGTATCTCCCACCAATGTAGATTTGAGTCCGGTAGCGGAGAAACTCTAAACAGCAAGGTTCACTGGACTAGAAAGGATAAAGTCTAAGAAAAATTAGCATCAACATCATAAATGATTTAGTAATCTGACGAGGTGATGCACTGATGCACGAAAATACAAACATGAATGAACTAGACCATTCAGCTCCGATACCAAGTTAATGCCTGAAAGTTAGAAACCAATAAAGGGATAGGCAGTCCTGTAACTGTTACCGCAGTATACCTAAATACGGACAAGTAACAATCAAATTAAGTTCACTCATCCATCATTATCCCCCCATCACATTCAAAAATGGCAAATAGAGTCTTCAGATCATTCCAAAAAGTTAGAACTTGGGAAACCAACACCAAAACAATTTACAAGAGAACCTGCTCTAAAGGTAACTTCAGGCACTCAGGCAACTCATTAGCTTGCAAACTCAAGAAAGACCTTTCAACAACCGCATCAACTTCACTTGTTGAAAAGCCAGAGCATTTGATGTCACCATCAATTCTGTCCAAACCATTGCCAGCGCCTATTAGAATAACAGTAAAGAGACACTTCAAAATCAGGCAGTTGATATCAGAAATGGTTTGCATTAAAAGAGGGTTACAGCCGACGTGTTACATGTCAGCATGTAAGGATACTGAAGACTTGCCTCCCTTAATTACGGTCTAATGATGAGAATTTAAAGTGAAAAAATGATGAATGAAATAAAATACTTAAAAGGTTTTTCACTATCAGATAATACTTTATCTTCTCAGATATTTTGAAAATCAGACATTAACTCAGATTATCTAGCTTCTATTCAACACCCTACAAATATACTCAAGCACAACAAACAACAACAACAACAAAGCCTTTTCCCACTAAGTGGGGTCGGCTATGTGAATCCTAGAACGCCATTGCGCTCGGTTTTGTGTCATGTCCTCCGTTAGATCCAAGTACTCTAAGTCTTTTCTTAGGGTCTCTTCCAAAGTTTTTCTAGGTCTTCCCTTACCTCTTCGGCCCTGAACCTCTGTCCCGTAGTCACATCTTCGAACTGGAGCGTCAGTAGGCCTTCTTTGCACATGTCCAACCCACTCATTCCTAATCTTATCCTTTCTCGTGAGCCCACACCTCCAACGAAGCATCCTCATCTCCGCTACACCCATTTTGTGTACGTGTTGATGCTTCACCGCCCAACATTTTGTGCCATACAGTATCGCCGACCTTATTGCCGTCTTATAAAATTTTTCCTTGAGTTTCAGTGGCATACGACGGTCATACAACACGTCGGATGCACTCTTCCACTTCATCCATCCCGCTTGTATTCCATATATTCTGTCTTTGATCGGCTTAGGTGAAGACCTTTAGATTCCAACACTTCTCTCCAAAGGTTAAGCTTCGCATTTACCCCTTCCTGAGTTTCATCTATCAACTCTATATCGTCTGCGAAAAGCATACACCAAGGAATAACATCTTGAATATGTCCTGTTAACTCATCCATTACCAATGCAAAAAGGTAAGGACTTAAGGATTGTTGATGCACAAAATCAGTGAGGACTTTGGTACAACAGAAAGTATTAAGTTTGTGACCTTCGCTAGATTGCTCCGGTCATTAGTATGGATAAGTATGTAAAAGGATAGAGACAGGAGAGCAAACACAAGATGTACGTGGTTCACCCAGATTGGCTACGTCCACGGAGTAGAGGAGTTCTCATTAATTGTGAAGGGTTTACACAAGTACATAGGTTCAAGTTCTCCTTTAGTGGGTACAAGTGAATGATTTAGTACAAATGGCATTAAGAAATATTTTGGGAAAATGATCTCCTTTTATGAAAGAGAGTTTCTAGCCTTGTTCTGACATTGACACGTGTCGTGTTGTGATTGGCTTCCGATGTTGACACGTGTCGCGCTATGATTGGCTTCTGATGTCAACACGTGTCGCTCTGTGATTGACCTCCTGGTTGGAGGGGAAGCTCCTCGGTTGGGGACTTGCAAGATCCAAGCCGCTGAGTAATCACGAAACTTCTAAGTATCGAAGTGTGGTATTGTCTTCACTTGCCTTATCTGTCTCATAGGTAGATGTGGCATCTTCTCTGGAAGTACTCTTCCTCCGTCCAGGGGTGGTATCTTTAACAGGTGGAGATGCACAAGGTAATGTATCAATTTCACTTGAAGCTTACTTGTAGTTTCAGGCTTGGTCAAGCGCGATACAAACCATGTAGTAGGAGTCCCCCAAGTCGCCGAGCTAGGGGATCTGCTGAAAGAGGTGACAGACAAGGTAAGCAATCAGAGCTTCAACCACTCAGTCCCAGATCAGAATTTTGATTTCGAGTTCCGGCTGATTGTTCTCATTCTTCTTATCTTGCAGGCAGCATGAAGGATAAAGAGAAGAAAAGTAGAAGAGATGATATGAGATACTTTTGCTTTTGAAGAAGTAACTTTCCACAAGCTTGTTCTTGAACTGGGCTGGAGGGTTTTCTGGTTACCTCCAGAGTATAAGGCCAACTGAAGAATTTGTGGGTCAAAACAAGTCCATCAAATCTAGAGTATGTTTGACCCTGCTGATATGGGATACTTTTGTTGTTGACAAAGTAGTGGAAGTATCGGCACGTGTTCTATTACGCTTGTCTCCACATGCTTCCTTGTATCCTTCCCACTTGCCCTATCTGTTCCTTAGGCATATGTGGTATCTTCTCTGGAAGCATAAGATGTTGAAGATGAGTACTCGAGAGCAATGCCAGGTAAGTAATCAGGTAAGGGGTTCCAGGCAGTCAGTTCCTGACTGGAAGCTTGATTCCAAGTGCTGACTGATTGCTCTCTTTCTCCTTGTCTTGCAGGTAAGAACAAGGCCAAAGGAAAAGACAGGGAAAAAGCATGATATGGGATACTCTTTCTTTTAACCCTGATGATATGAGATATTCTTGCTCTGGTGTAGCTTGTTTGCAGAGGTATTATCGGGGGGAAAGAAAGCTGAGTATTTCGAGAGGCTTCGTTGGGAGTAACCTCTCAGATATGAGGAAGGGTTGAGCATTTTTGCAGGTCTGCCTGTCCGTTGAGGATGGAGGTCGACATATATAGGAGTCTCCCTAACAACAAGTAGTAATGCTATTCCTTTACCCTTCTTGGTCATAGCACTGTAGTGGGAGCTGCCAGCTTCACGTGTTTTAACTGTCAGAGCACTTTGAAAAAGTGGTCTGTGGTATCTAGAAAGCTGATGTTCGTGTGAAGATTACAGACAAGCTTTATCCAAGGAGATATGGCTCTCGAAGTTGAGAAAGCGATGCCTCTTTGGTTTTCGAACAAGCGATCCTGTCGGGGATCTGGCTCTCGAGATTCGGAGAACGGTGCCTCTTCGATTTTTGAGAAAGCAATCCTGCTGGGAGTCTGGCTCTTGAAATTCGGAGAGCGGTGTCTCTTCGATTTTTGAGAAAGCAATCCTGCTGGGGGTCTGGCTCTTGAAATTCGGAGAGCGGTGTCTCTTCGATTTTTGAGAAAGTAATCCTGTTGGGAGTCTGGCTCTTGAGATTCGGAGGGCGATGCCTCTTCGATTTTGGAGCAAGCAATCTTGTTGGGAGTATTTTCTCGAATGTGAGTAAAGGTTGGGCATTTTTGCTAGTCTACCTTGCCACGGAGCACAGAGGTTGACACATAGGGACTTTCCAATTATCCAGCCGTGGTGCTGTTCCTTTACCCTTTTGAGTAATAATATGGTAGCTAAACCTTTAAAATTTATGTGTCTAAACTTTGTTAGTGCTGTTTCTTTGCTATTCTTTTACCCTTCTTGGTCATAGAGATGTAGTGGGAGCTGCAAGCTTCACGTGTCTAAACTTTGTCAGAGATCTTTGGCAACGTTATCTGTGGTACCCATGAGCTGATGTTGCGTGTGGAAAGTGGATGATTGAACAATAAGATTCACGTGCTTTCTACTTCACCAGAAATCTTCGACAGATTGCCCGTAATTTTCGCAAAGCTGAGTGTGCATGTGACAGGTGCTGACAAGGCTGAGAAAGCAGGTGCCTCTTCGATTTCTGAGATCGGCCCTCGTGGTCTCTGAGCAGCCCCGCTTTTGAGAAAGCAAACGCCTCTTCAATCTCTGAGATCGGCCCTCGTGGTCTCTGAGCAGCCCAGCTTTTGAGAAAGCAAACGCCTCTTCGATTTCTGAGCAGGCGCCTCTTCGATTTCTAGTGCTCCGTCGAGTGCAGATTTTTATAGAGGCTGGCATTAAGTTCCAAAGCACACTTGAGAAAGCAAACGGTCTGATGAGTTGGCTGTTAAGGATTCTCTGGCTCTCAATGTTCAGTGTGCAGGTTCTGTGTCAAATATGGCCCAACGCCTATTTGCTCGAACCCGCCAAGTTGAATCATTGACGGCTGAAGTGATGAGTCTCAAGCAGAAGATTAGAGGGCTCAAGCATGAGAATAAACAGTTGCACAGGCTCGCACATGACTATGCTACAAACATGAAGAGGAAGCTTGACTAGGTGAAGGAATCTGATGGTCAGATTTTACTTGATCATCAGAGGTTTATGGGTTTGTTCCAAAGGCATTTATTGCCTTCGTTTCTGGCCGTAAAAGGAATGATTAGCTCCGACTTCTTTCCAGGGTTGTCATTCGCCCGAGTATCATTCCGGTGCCTCGTCTTTCTGGGGCTGTAATGAGCTCCAAATCCAAATGATCAGCCTCCGATGCCTCTATTCCTTCTAGGGTTCTGTCCATACTGAGGCTCCGAGTGATCTATCAACGGTGCCTTCTTCTTTCTGGGGCTCTACGGACTGCTGAGAACTTCTCCTAAGCAACCTTTGTGAAGGCCCCCTCTTTGTTTGTTTATTTTGACTCATGTATATGTACATATTTGTAACTTATCGGAGATATCAATAAATAAGCTTTGCTTCATTTCAACGTATTGTGTTAAATACACCAAAGCCTTCTTCACTAAGTTCTTTGCATTTTTCTTTTGTTGAAGCTTGTATGTTGAAGCTTTGTGAGTGAAGCATGTAGGTTGAGGTAGTGTTCCCTTAATTTCTCGAGTGAGGAAAACTTATCAGTTGGAGACTTGAAAAATCCAAGTCACTGAGTGGGGTCGGCTATATGTTGAGCTTGAACCAAATAGTTTGTATTTAAAAAAGATGAAGTATTGGGTTCTAATAAACATGCCCTGAATTAGTTCTTAAAACCTATTAAATATTCTCTTTAACAACCAGAGCAAAAATCATAAAAGCAAAAGCTAGATGTAGCATCTTCTAACCAATCATTAAGGGGTATCCACCGAAAGCATGACCAACAATTAGGCTTTGACTACACCTATGTCCACAAACAGTAGACTGACTGCTTCCTCATTGGGACTCATCACTCGAGGTTTACAAACCGAATGCTTACATATTCCCTAGTTATACATGACAATTCACTTCTTAATATGAAACATTATCATATTTCTCACTACAATTCCAACATTCACGTTATATGCTGTATTAGCATATAGGTATCAAACAGTACCAAAATAGTACAGGTTGGGCACATAAGTTCCCACTTATGGGTTAGAAACATGTGGGCAGCAGAAAGCGAGATCCTACTGACCTTGGGAAGAAAACTAGAACAATTGGTGGTAGTGTAAAACTGAACATGCCTGGTTTTCTTCGTTTGCACCCCTCATTAAAACTATCGACTGCTTTTGATGATAGACGGTGAGTGTACGTCAAACGGATGCGGAATCTGCTTATGCTGGACTTACAACCTTGCAGAACTTCAAATTATAGAAGACTGCTCACATACATTTGAAATTGATTATTCTTAGTTTGTATGGGTCATATGAAACTCATTGCTCTCTGTAAAAATTATAAAGCCCTATATTTGTTTTGTCAAATAGATAACATAATTAGAATCTGAAAGAAAGAAGCTTTACATAGTAACAATGTTTCAAGGGTCACCGCAAGAGAAATTTTTAGAGCATCCTTTGCAGAAATGCATTCAGGAAGTGGTTTTCCTTGGAACCAAAGTTCAGATTCAAACTTTCTTTTCATATACAGCCTACAAAAGGAAATACAAAATTAAATCAACCTATATAAATAGCTTGTTCAAAAAGCTTGAAGACACTCAAATTTGGATAAACAGATACTTACACAGTCTACACCCTACACTTCAGATGTAGAATGTAAATTAAATTTGTCAACTAACACAAAACAAAAACAATTTTTTTCTCTTTCTCATTTCCTCTGCTAGAGGTCGCACTTGGTGCGATGGCAAGTGCCTTCGCCCATGAGCGGTAGGTCTCGGGTTCGAGACTTGGGAGCAGCCTCTCCATAAATGGGGGTAAGGCTAGCCGACATTCACCTCTCCCAGACCCTGCCTAAAGCGGGAGCCTTGTGCACTGGGTACGACCTTTTTTTTTTTTTTCTCATTTCCTCTGCTCTGGATGCAGAAGATATAAATAATAGATTAGGTAATTCTGAAACTGTCCAAAGTTCAACAGTCATAGAGCTTTTCTGTGAAAGTACATTTCTTACCAAGCAATGCGATCATTTTCCTGGATAATTGGAGGTACGGACACTTCAAGAGAAAAGCTGTCAATCTGAAAGCCCTGTTGCCTAATCAGATTGGAAATGGAAACAGCCAACTCGTCGGCACTCTCCCTTTCTGCCACCAACTTCTTATCAACAGAATAACTGACTGCAAGATCCCCAAGCAAACGCTACAAGCTACCGGTTCTCTTGCTTTACTATCCACCAAATGTTTCTCAGAATCTCCAAGAAGTGAACTCAAGATTGACCGCGATAGTGAGAACGATAGTAAACATTCTCTCTGATCCCAAAGAACCGTAAGATGCATCTGGTGCATACCTACAGGGGAATTTTATTTTTGTTGAAAATTTCGGAAACACTCAAGTAATCTACCGAGGACGTTTGAACCAAATCTACTTAGAACTAGGAATTGAATAATCAAAGTGAACGAGCCTCCAAAATATAAAAGTATTAGGTTTAAAATAAAAAAAATGCAGTACAATCAATATTTGGAGGAATATGACATTTGAAGAACCCTAATTGAATACGATTCCATATACTCAAAATATACGTGAAAACCTTGAATTAATACATACAGGGCAAAGCTAAGAAGAGATAAATTAGGGCAAAAGCGGAAGTTACCCCGGTGGACCATAAGTCTATGACGGCGCGTCTAGGCAACTCTTGGACGACGTCGCAGAGAGATTGTACATTATCGCCATTAACGGTGGCCTGCGAACATCTTGGGCCTCGTTTGCCATTTCGAAAAGCCCTAACGCTCAATGAAGGGGATGATTACTGTACTACTTCCCAGAATAACGGGCAAACTGTGCAAGTTATTATACAAACCTTGGGTGTGCTGCTTAAATTACCATTATCACCTTCGTTATTGAAGTTTTTCTATGTATTAATCAAACAGGCATAATAATCATTTTACTTCTTCTCTGTTATCTCTATTAATTAATGAAACATTTTTTGTTAACTAAAATATGATAAAAATAGCTTTCAAAAAAAAAAAAAAAGATGATAAAAAAAATTACTTAGTCTTCTATCACATAAAAAGAAATGATGAACAATAATGTAATTTCACATTTCCAAATTTTACTATTTTTTATTAAAACAAAAACAAAAACAAAAACCTCTTCCTCCTCCCACATCTCTCTGTAATCTTTAATGCTGTATAAATTTCTAAAGTCTAAAAACCTAATCGTCACTTCCTCGGTCTCTCTCTTTCCTTCCTCTCTTCCTCCAAATCACTCTCTCCCGTCTTCTCCTGTCCTCGCGGTCGCGGATTCCTTCTTCCAAGATTTTCCATCGCTCCTTCTGATTTCTCACAGCGCTCTACTCCCGCAGCTCTCGTTGTTGTCCTCCGTCACCATTGGCGGCGAGCGCGACAGAATTGAGTAAACGGACGAAGAAAAAATGGCGAGCAGCTGGGTTTATATGCGGAGGATTTCAGGGTGAGGGGCCATACTGAAAACTTAAATAATAATAATAATTTTTTTTAACAGAGTGAATCATGCCGATATGGATCTCTTACGATTTCACGAGCCCATGCCAATATCCACGACAGCAAATCAACAACATAAATTCAGTGGTCCAAGCAAGATGACCGACCAAATAAGAAACATCCACTCAAAGATAAATTCAAAATAAGTCCTCAGTTACAGTCCCGGCCACATCGAAAACACATTTTTCCAAAACTTTGATCCATCTAACAATAACATCAACATACAAAGCCACATATTGCCAAGACAAAGGGCAGACATTAAAAATACATCTGTTTCTGGCAAATCACATTCTATCTTCTCTCTTCCTTGGTGCACAGGTGATGATCTCGTCAACTCTAAGAATCATCTCTGCAGCCTCTGTTGCAGAGAGCAGGACGGCCTGCTTAACTTTAAACGCTTCTGATATCCCTCGTTCTGCCATGTCTCCTACCTGCCAGCGTAAAAAAAATGCCATGCATCAGATCATTATAAGAGTCCAGGCACCCCGCAAGTAATTTCTCCCCATTAACATATAATGCTTCGCTTTGCATGACAGTATCGCATCACGGATACAGCCTTCCAAAGCTGAGGTCAAACATCATGCTCAATATATTAAAAAGAAATGCCATAAATCTACTATTTTGTTCATTTTTTTTCATTCTGGTACTTACTGTTCCAGAGATGACATCAATCCCAGAAGTGCATCCTTCTTTCTGGTGCTCTGCACGTAGCTTTGCAATCAACTCAGCACTGTCCAAACCGGCATTGTCAGCAATGATAGTAGGAATGGCCAAGAGTGCCCGCGAGAAAGCTTCAATAGCATGATTTCTTTCCAGGCGTTTTCCTGGCCAGCTCATCAACTTCCTTTGCCATTATCATCTCAGGCCATCCACCTCCAAGCAAAACTCTGCTGTCATTGACCGTCTGAGACAGCACACACAAGGCATCATGCAGAGACCTTTCAGCCTCGTCAAGAACGTGATGGCTGCCAAAGTACAAACATATCATACAATCATCCAACGAAAAGTAAAAAGAACCAATTTTAGCTCCAGGGCCAAAACAAAAGCTTCCTACATCTTTTTGGAGTATACTTCAAATGTAAATCCTAATTACTAGGTGCTACAAGGAATATCCATAAGTGGAAAGAAAGGGAAATACAAGCTGACAAGAGTAGCAGTTTCCAGTCAGCTAATAACAAAACCGTCAGTAACGCAAGCCACAAATGCAATACCTGCTACCATAATTTTAGGGATTCCAAAGGGCATATGAGTCTGACAGAGACTCTCAGCCAGTTTAACCATGGCCTCAAATAAGATAAGCTACGGATGTAAGGTACTCCATTTCATGTATTACCTCTCACATTTCATATACTATCTTTCACACACACATGCGCGCGCGCACACACACACGAGGTTAAAATTACATCTGTGTGGGCACAATAATATTAGCCAGTGCAGAACATTAGAAGAGAACAAAATGTAAATGAATAAAATACCTCGCGCCTCTCAGCACTATTGTGCAAGCCTGACCCAGTTCAACTCCAGAAAAATGGATCAACTTGTCCTCACCAATCATAATTTCCTCAATGAGCTTGCAGTGCCCAAGCTTAACGGACTCTGGATTATCAAAGGTTGATGCAATTTCACCACCAGTAACTAAGGCCAAACGCTCAATGCCATCAAAATCAGCATGCTCAATTGCAAGTATTCCAGCATCTGCAAAGAGTTCTTCTGGGAAATTGTAGATCAACTGTCTGTTAACGAAACAGTTAATTCCATGACCTATGATCTTCTGCACTTTTTCTCTCATTTTATCTTTCTCAGCCCCTTCAATTTCAGCAACCTTCGCCATTGAATCAACACGAACACGTGCCCCATAAATCTTCACTTTGTCTGTGTCCATTGCTGTGTTTGCGACCAAAATGTTTGCATTCTCTATGCGCTTCGGCTGACCAAGACCTATTTTCTTGTCAAGAATAAATCTGAAAAATAAAAACAGAAGTATAGAAGAAGTCAAGAAATAACAAAAAGAATCCAAGACTTACATTCCAGAAATTGTCAAAACTAGCAGTAAAAATAACATAAGCTCAAAAGTTCATTTTCCTTCTTACCCTTCATCTAAAAATGAATCTATAAGTGATCCACCGGGCTTCTTTATAATTTGGATAGCCTCTAAGTTGGTACTTCCCTGCCAATGGAAACAGCTTGTTAAGTAAATGAAGACTAAAGAAAAATATATGTTTTCAACATTCAGACTGAACCTTAACTACTAAATGTTATTTTACAATCACCTTTAGGCGCATCACAGCATCCACGGCTAGCTGTGCAAAATGTTCTTTGTCCTGAGAAAGAATTTTGGAGCTCAAAGTAGTCATTGCGATCTTCATTAGGTCCGACTTAAATTTTTCTGCACAATTCAGTGATGGCTTCACTTAGTTATAATTTTACAAGGCAAAGATAATGAATACGATGTCAATCAATTCAAAAGCTCCAATCTCAGAGGGCAGCATGCATAAAGACCAAACCCATCAAATTCAATATTGAACATCATGTAACTAGAATAACTCATATCAACAGCTACTAAATGAAAGTTGATCCATGAGGTGAAATAATCAATGGATCGGACAGAAGAAGGGAAAAATCAGTAGTGAATACCAGAGTCAGCCTTGTTATCCACAACCTTCTGCAATAAAGCATTACGTGCACATTCAGCTGCCATCCGATAACCTAAAAAATCAAACTTACAGCATTAAAGTTACATGGTACCACATAAAAATACAACAGAACAGAACTACAAAACTAGTGAGATACGTGTTTGCAGAAACCTAAGACAAACCTGAAATGATTGTCATTGGGTGAATCTTTGATGCAACCAGCTTTTCAGCCTCCCTTAAGAGCTCACCCGCCAAAACAACAACAGAAGTTGTCCCGTCACCAACTTCATCATCTTGAACTTTTGAAATATCTGACTCTTGTATTAAGGATCATCGCCAAATGTGAGCAAGATCTATCTCTACCACTCCCATACACTTTCAGTACTTCAAGATCAAAGATAACTTGCCAACAACAGTTTTGGCCAAATAGATATATGTAAAGTGATAAGTAGATAACTGAAATGGAAAAATATGTCTACAACCTGTAATAATCAGCATAAACAGTCACAAATTTAAAATCAAATGGTCAGGATACCAACAAGAACTTTAGCAGCTGCATTGTCAATATGCAGGGACTTTAAGATGGTGGCCCCATCATTAGTAACAGTAACCTCGTGTCCTCTTCCTGTTGATTGCAAAATTTTATCCTGTACAAAAAATATTAACAGGAAAGTAACTAACACAAGTAGGAAAGCATTGTATAAGCATATTGTCTATTAGTTTGTTAACAGATTAAGTAAGAGAAACTCACCATTCCCTTCGGCCCTAAGGTTGTCTTAACCAAGTCAGCAATTGCCATTGCGCCCACAAATGAAGCCTAAAACAATACAAATTAAAGATAAGTTGTACATGGGGGGGGGATAAGTCAGAATCTTGCCATATTCGTTTGAATTTGAATAACAAAATGAAAATTGAAATTTCCTAATCTACATCTGCCTACACCATTACATACTGAACAACAGTATAATCCAGGACAGTAGCCAATCCCAGAAGGCCTTGCGAACACAACAAATTAAAGCCAAACAAAAGATTCAATGGAACACCTCATACATCCACCCTAATCCCACAAAAGTAAGTTCGAAAAAATGCTGTGATCCTAGTCAACAATATTATCCAACAAAATTTCAGGAAACTAAATCTTGAAATCATTAACCATGAAATTCATAGAAATGACATTTTGTTTACTACAAAACACTGTGAATATCAAAGCACAGTCCAGGAAACTCACCAGTCTGGCGCGCTCTCCTTTCTCCTCACTAGCTTCATCTTTGAAAATTCTCTCCACCTATCGCATTTACCAAGAAAATCAAATCAAACAAAAAAAATGAAACCTGAAAATAAAATGCCAAAGTTTAAACTCTAAACATTTGCTTACCGCCATGGAATAGAGATATCAAAAAACTTCGGCCGAACGAAAACCTATGAGATTTTACATAACGGAGTAAAATCGAACGGCAAAAAACAATCCGAACACGCAAATCACGAGGAAAATGAGAGAAGCGAGGAAACTTGAAGCAAAGAAAATCTGAAGTCTGTAAAACCCTAAAACACAAAATCTTAGGAAATGGAAACCGTGAAAAAGAAACTGCCTGATCTTACCGAAGAGAAAGCGTAGACGGAGATGGTGAAGGGAGAATTGAAGACTCTAGATCCCGCCCAAGATAACTGGTTTCGGCGTCGAGGGTTTTTTCACTCTATCTAAGTTGAACCGGCAGCACACAAGTAAA